CTTCCGAACGAACTTTTAATTATTTCTACTTATCGACGACAAGCGCATTATGTTTGTGCACGCTCTGTTCTTTTTTTTTCAAACGATAGAAAAGTAATAACGTAGAAACTAATGAATAACAAACCGCCAACGGGTTAACCTTTGCTCGTTTCAGGCGTCAAAAGGTTGAAGCTTGATATAAAATTTGCCGGGGGAGAATGTAACGACCATTTATACTTTCCGTGTGACGCTCGAATGCCTATCACCACTCGAAACGCGTCATCATCGTCTGTGACGCGCGCGCGATTTTATTTCGCAATTTGCAGATCCCACGTCCACAGTAACGATACTGCAATCAGCCGATACGTATCGACAGAATGCAACGTACCGTGTATTTTCGAATCAAGTTTCTCAACTATACCGAATGATTTCGAGGAAATCTACAGTTATTCCGACGGTAGAAATATTATTATATCGTATGTTTTATTCAACTTTTACCTATTATACCGCGCTGTTGTCTATTACAGTAAATTCTCTACAAGTGTCAGTCAGTTTGGATTCTACAAGTGTCAGTATAGATGGTCCTACGCCTATGTTATCTCTCTCGCTGTCAGTCAAGCGTGTAACGTTACACCACTCGGTTTCCTTTACGAAATTTCACGGCTCGACAATTCATAATAGAAAAATATAATTTCTTTAATTTTACTTTTTTTCATCTGAAATTTTTTTTAACATGTTGCTGAGATTTTTCTGATGAAAGTGATATCAAACACGACATAATTTGAACAACATTTACTTATTCACTGTCACGCCATACAGTGAACGTGTTAATAAGTAAATGTTGTTCAAATTATGTTGTGTTTGATGTCATTTTCATCAGAAAAATCTCATCAATATGTTAAGAAAAATTTCGGGATAAAAGAACGTAAAATTAAAAAAGTTGGTATTTAAATCGCTTGGTTGCCTAGACTCACGTTTCATGCTTATCTTTTATTCGCTATCCTTGTCTACGTTCGGCAAACTACAAAGGCGGGCGCGAGGCTCGAAAACGTAGTCCCTGACTCTACAAGTGTCACGTTTAGGTTCCTTGCGGACTGACACTTGTGGAGAATTTACTGTATTGTCTATCACTAACGTCGTTGCCATGAAAATATCGAATATTTGCGGTTGATCTTATTTTTCAGTCGATAATATCAATTTACGAATTTACGTGAATCAAGTTAATTAGGTTCTACGAGGAACTTTACAGGCGTTCGTAACGTTTAAACGTACGATAATTCGTGTTCAAGTTTCCCAAACGATCATCTACGAGGTTCTTATCGAGGTTATTATCGGAAATTAATACTAACCGAAATATGCGCACACATTTGCAGAAACGTAACGTAAAATTTAATATTTTTTATTGATAAAACAAAGAATCGAAATTTTCGTCGATGCCGCAGAATTGAATTTTATGCGTTTTAATTAATGCAGACGCCCTTAGCAGTACGAAATTATTTAATTCGTAAAAGTTGAAAGAAAATTAATTCGCTCGATTTTATTCTTGTTGTTCCTCGTTTTGTGTCAAGTTTAATTTCTGTTCGTGCATAATTCCGCAACGCTCGTTTCTTCCTTTCGTCGCTATTTTTCTTCCACGTTGAAATAAAGTTCGCCTGCTTGAAAGTTCGCCAATCAACAAAGTACCTATCGCGGTGCTCGATAGCTCGGCGAGAGAAACGGGAAATTTCGGGAAAAGCCAACCGAGAGAAATAAAAGGGCAAGAGTTTCTTCTTTTAATCGACAGATTTCCAACGGGGAAACCGTGGCGAGAGTAGAGAAAAACGAGACGAAGAAGAAGGGACAGAAGCGGAAAGAATAAGTCGCGTCGCAAAAGAAAACTGTTTCCCCGGCTACGGGGTTGGGAGTTTATTTCATTTGGTAAATTCGATGAGAAAGACTGTAACGAAGGAGGCGAGCTTCGTTGGAAAATAGGTTAGCTGGCTGCATCGAAGGAGACCGAGCGCGCTACCCTCTTCGAAATTGCAAATATCTGTCAGGCTTCGGGAAGAAATTTTTCAAGGGAATTCTTTTCTTTCCCTCAGACAAATTGAATCGGGTCTCCTTTTCTCCGTGGATCCGATATCGGTGTCCCTTTCTCTCGATAATTTTTCTGTTAAATTAACGTTATTACGACGCCCTCGGCGACGTGTTCCTTGTTACTTCCCTTTTTTTTTTTGCCCGAGCTATAATATCTACCGATATGTCGTCGAATGTTCGATCGTTTCGTAAAAATAACGAAAAAAGAGAGCTGCGAGAAGCAATCTTCTTCGGGATAGAAGGGTATCCTCTGGTATATACAGCGGGTATTCTGTTCCTTCAGTTTTCGAAAATTGATGGGAGGAACTTTTAATTTCATATAGCTCGTTTCGCTCCAGACGATTTATCGGAGGAGATGGGAAAATAAAATGTCGCGATTAATAGGTTTAATGCTAACGCAGAATTTCGTTAATTTTGGAAGATGTTGAGAAAAATGAAGTGCTGTTACTTGGAGTTTTTGGAAAATGGTCGATGAAGTTTGGATAGGATAAATTTTCTGTTTTCGTTGCATTTGAACCATACTGTAATGAAAATTATTGTGGATAGTTAGCAAAATGTAAAATGTAATTGTGTGATTTTCACAATTTTCACACCTTTACGTATTGCAATTTTTGTTAAATGCTTAAAAATGCAGTCTGTTTAGATTGAACTTGTAGTTTAACCCTCTGTAACTTCAGGTAACTTAGAAGTTACACGTTCATCTATCTATATTTTTTTGTAAGTCTCATTTTATTTATTTATTTGCTATACTATTGCATTGTATTGTTGTACTAACACATTATTACCAGCTAATTCCTTTGTAATAATTATTAACGCTTGCTGCTCCCATGAAAATTTAAAATTATAACGAACCCTAAGTTTTCTTTCAATGAATGAAAAAAAATCAGGTTACAGAGGATTAAGTAACTGAAGCATGTGCAAAATATGATATTTCATTATTCAGATATCATATTATTTCAATTTATATTTATATTCATTTATAAATATCATATTATTTTAAACATGACATTGCCCAATTTATTCAGAACTCCATTCAAAGATGTTTTAAAATGAATTAAGCTAGCCAAGTAGATAGTGGTTAATCAAGTTCACACATACTTAGTAAATATTAAAATTCAATTTCCTGGAAAACAAAGGTCTACACGAACCAATTTTATTCTACATTCTCGACTTACTTTTACACGAAAAATTACCTTCTTTTCACCTTCTTTAGCCTTCGACTAATTTTCGCGAGTACGAATTTCGAAGGTCGGGTCGCGCATTTAAACAAAAAAGAAACCCGCGAAGTTCACGAACCGTGAGAAACACGAGCATCTGCGTACGGCGGTGAATTCACCGGCAAAAAGCTATGTACATTGAAGATACAAATGCGTCTCACGTGTTCCGGAACGTTGAATGAATTATACTTATTCGTGGCGTAATTTCGAGAAAATTATTCCGGCTTTGGACAAAAGCGAGGAAAAGAGGAGACGGAAGAGGAGTCTCGTAAAGAGACGGGGAAATCCGTCGTTTCGCGATTATCCTCGGGCTCTCACTTTCCCGCTCGACGTCGCGTTTTTTCCCCCCCCCGTCGTTTAAACGCGACACGGCAGTAATTACGTAAAAAACGAGCGCGCTATTTACGCGGGTTTGTTCCGCTTGCGGGTGTTGGCCGCACGACACGCCGCAGCATCTCTCTTTCCCATTGGCCTCGTTTCAACGAGCCCCGTCGAAATACAACGAATACGACAATGGAGATAACGAACAATCGAAAAAAAAAGGCGCCAGAGCTGGTAATTGTCCCCGGCAAACAGATTTCACGTGAAACGAAACTATTTTCGAGGAGGGTTGTTAGACTTAAGAGGCCTTTAGCTTATTGGTGGCGCTTGTTTAGAAATCGCGAAGGAGAATAGAACGTGACGGAAAATTTTTGGGAATTCTCGTATGAAGTGGTGAATCGATTCTGAATTGAGAAAATTTTTGATAGAGAAATTTGTAGTTTTTTAGTTTTGTTAACGGGTAGAAGTGTAAAACGTGTGTTTTGAATTGTACGGGGATCTATCGTGTGTTTGAAGATTTTTAAATTTCGTTCTTTTTTTCTGTAGAGGTATTTTGGAAGTGTATTATATATCGGATATTTTGAAAATTTATTAAATATAATTATCAGGCATAATGGTTTTAGGAAATTTGACAAATTTGAGTATGGGGGGCGACAGTTCACTATATCGATGCAGAAAATGATCGTTAATTACAATTTAACTCTGTTGAATTTTTACTTCCTTGAGAAATACGATGTTAATAAACTTTCTAACGTTCAGTCTATAATTACTTCCCATTTATGAAGATACTTTGCCATACAATTTACATCAGAAGATGCAAAAATCACAATCTAACTTCAGAAGGGATGGATAATCAAAGTTCCATCCATTTCAAGCACAGCACAAGTGTCGTAATACTTTGTTATTAAGAGAAAGTATATTAACAATGTGATAGAAATTCTGTAAATACTTCTTACTGCAACTGTTCAATTTTCACGCAGACAACTCAATTAACTCCCGGCAGTTAATTAATCTGAAAAATTGAAATAACGAATATTTAGTCAACCCTCAACCAACAGCCAACAATCGAGTTAACAAGCTAACCTCGGTTTAGAGCAAGAAGCAATTTAGTTTCGTATTAATACTGCGGGAAAGTAAAGTACTTAGATTCCGCTATAAATTACTGGCTTGTTATACCTTCTAATAAATTCGTGTACAGTTAGTCGGTGATTCGATTAGTCGATAATTGAATATAAATGGCGTACAATTAAGTGAGCTGAGTAGATTATGGCAGAGACCGGTGTCGTGGGCTTAGAAAGGCAAAAAGGAAGAGGAACACGAGAGGACTCTTAAAATGAGTCTTCGTCCCGTTCCGCCAGACACGAAATTAGTTGACTGGTTAGGAATGACGGCGGCAATAAAATTTACCGTTCCGTATCACGTCGCTTCCCAGCTGTCTCCATTTACTAAAGGTGGTGCCGCCTTCATCCGGCGTAACCGATGCGGTTGTTCCGGAATCTGGTTGCGTCGTCACCATCTACAACAGAAAATCATTTTTTTCCGGTGAGGGCAATGTTTGAAACGAGGCTCTGCGTCGCTGGGAGTTAGGGGCACGCGTGCAGTTATTAAACTGTGAGCGTGAAATGTACATAATTGAAGTTACGCCCTGTAATAGAGGGGAAAGATTATTCATTTTGGAGAACTCTCGCTACTCTGTCTGTCTTTCTCTTGAAAAATTTGGGAAATTTATAGCAGTGAAGAATTCACAATGCTCTCTCTCCCTCTCTTGAAAAATTTGGGAAGTTATAGCAGCAAAGAATTTACAGTGCTCTCTCTCTCTCTCTCTCTCTCCCTTGAAAAATTATAGCAGCAAAGAATTCACAGTGCTCTCTCTCTCTCTCTTGAAAAATTTGAAAAATTATAGCAAAAAAATGCTCACAGTGCTCTTTGTCTCTCCCTCCCTCTCTCTCTCTCTCTCTTTCTGGAATGATTTGAAAAATTATAATAGCAAATAATTCACAGTGACCTTTCTATTTCTCTCTCACTCTCGAAAAATTTGAAAAAGTATAGCAACGAAGAATTCACAATGAAGCCTGTCTATAATTTAAAAAACGAGAAACACGTTGCGCCATTGTGTTTTAGAAACAATTTATTTAAAAGCGAATAGGCGAAACATTTGTCAGTTTGTAGTAACGTCGTTACAGACGTACAAATACAACGAATTCATTTCCGTGTCCCTTTTGTTTTCTTCCTTTCATCAACTATAAAACGTATGAAACAAAATTTCGCCGGGTACACTGTTGGTTTTGAAAAGAAATATTTGTAAAGCAAAAATTCGCATTTCGTCATACTTGAAAAGCCAGAGAGATGTCACGATTAATCTTACACAAATTGAACTCAAAGAATGATTAAAAACCGCAGGTTTTAATTACTTTTAGATAGAAAATTTTTGAAAATTTTCAAGAAAAAATGAATAAAATGGATATTCTGTGTCAAAAAATTTGACTTCGCAATTTTGATTCGTTTCTACACATAAAATTACTCCGTTCTTTTGCACTACTCATTGCGCTACTCGGCGGATTTTTCATTTTTATACTTTATTACCCTCTCTAATCGAGATACAAAGTTGACACAAATTGTTCTCCTTTGATAAGCCACCGAACGACATATCGCAAGTCGAATTTGGTTCAGGGACACTTTCGACCCCCTTGTCCAGCCATACCCTTTCATATTTTGCCAAAAGAAAATAAACGAGAACTGATTTTCAGCTTTATTTCGCATCACAAAACGATCCTCGGAGCTTATCGCTAATTAAAGAAATTTAACCAGTCATTAATAAGTCGCCGGTTCGACTGTATCGCGCGCACACTCCAACAAGCCAGCAACGAGCTATTAGACGACTTCCTTTCTAGCGCGGATATACATGTGCCAGAGCAGCGGAAGTGTAGCCAGTTGAAAAGTCAAACACTCCGGCGACCTATATTTACAGCAACTTTTTCTCAGCCATTATCACGGCAAATAGAAGTCACTTATGAAATATCGGCCTGCCTTTCAGGAACGCCCGGCGAAATTCCTCTGCCTGGTCGATCGATATTTTTGTCGACCTAATAATTATCCCGGACTCATTGACGTTTGCTCTTTTTTTAACGCTTCGTGATCCGCGCGAAGATAGACCACTTGACCTTCGAACCACGTTGCATCGTGGGTAGGGTAAATAACGCGAAATGTCAGCCAATTCGAGGATCAATTTTTGTAATTGGAATGCAAACTACTATATTGTCCACCCCGTTTTCTTCCTTTCCCTCTCTCTTTGTATCCGCCGCGCGTCTATTTGATCTCCTTTGTCATGATCTCCGTACTCTTTCATTCCTCCTGCTTTTCAATTCCCCGAACTCGACCTTTAGCTGGTGTACACTGTTCCTTATAAATTCGTGCACACTAGAGGAAGAACACATATATCGTCACAGAATAGCCCATAATATCTTGATAAAAATAATGTACAGAGTTTTGGTACCGTACTCTACTTGTCCCACGCATGGAAAAATCTCATAAACGTAGATTAAGAAACTCTTCTATTCCTCATCGAAGTAAATATCTCGTCGAGTTAGTAGCACAGAAAAAATATATTTCTAGTAGTCGTGGTCTACGATTAGACTCTTTGATCATTCCTCCATTGCAGAAATGTGACATTGATCGTTCTTCTCCGAACCCACAATTCTTTCTTCCTTAATGTCTCCAGACACTTACTGTTTTCTCCTCTTATTATTCTACAGTACGATACCTCGTCGTAAGCTCCAACACACGTCTCTAAAATCACAATTTCCTTTTCGAGTTGACTACGATATCTCTCTCTTCATTTCCCCTCGAAGTCATTTCCCCTCAACTATTTACCCGTCACATTCTTTCTCCGATTCACCTCCAAACCCCCGACCGAGCTGTAAAGAATTCCCAGCAGTACGTCTCATAATTCAACCGAGCAATAGTCTCGTCCTGCCGTTTCATTTCCTTCGCAGGTTTACATCCACAGGTTCGCGTCTCTGTCGTAAGTACGGCTACAATTCTAATGGACAGTGGTACGTGGGGCCTCTCGGTCGGAAATAGACGCGTACAAATGGAAGCAGGCGGTGTTCCGTCCTTCGCCCTTCGATCCGTGGAGCCAGGTTATAACGCGGACTTGGCTTTTGGGAGGATTCCAAAGAGGCCGTGAGGAACAGGCGGGCTGGCGCGCCGTCGTAATCCGAGGAGGGAGAGCGATGGAATCCCGGAATGCAAATTCACGGGGAATATTAAACGGCCGATATTCTACAGTGGCCTTCTGGTAATGCATAGCCGACGTTTGGCTACGGCATACGGCGTGCCGCGAGCTTCCGTTAGGCGGCCGGAAAACGAAAATGCGGTTGAATCGTGACCGAACCGAAATCTGTATACATACTGTATGCGTCGAGTGGTGCACGCGCCGACCGACAAGTGCACACCTGGACGATGCAAGTGGAACGAATCTATGAACGGCGCGGCGCAGCCTTTTGCATCGGCAAGTTCCATCAAGTTCATTTTTATGCGAACCGTTGGGCTTACTGCTTTTTGGTTCGTGTGTGTGTGCAAAAGGGAAACGCGTGTAGGAATTTTTAACGAGAGAATTGGGATTGTAAGGTAGGGGAAACAGGTTTGAATCGTGGAAAAGTGTTTGAAACGAATCGATATGCGAGGTTGATGTGTGTTGCGCGATTTGTTTCTTTGGATTTATTTTTCTGGGTGAGTTCGTGGATATGTTGAAGAGGAATTGACGCAGTGAATGAAAAGAATCTTTCTAAAAGGAGTTACATTTGAAAGGAAGAATCGCTGTTGCTAAAATATAGAAATTGGGAAAAATTCCTTTAGCGGATTGTTTAACATAATGTATTCAATTCTATAAAAATTATCGTAGAAGTAACAGTTCTAATTATTATAAAAAAAAAATTGCTT